AAATTATAATTAAAAAATGATGTAATTAACCAGTTAATCGTAATAGAAACTTAAAACTGAATAAATTTAGCTATTACAAACGATTGTTTTTGTGAAATGTTGTTACTATTAGATAGGTATTCATAAAAAAAAACAGCTATTAAAATCAACTTTTCAAAAAAATTAAACAAATTAAATGGGGTCAGTACCTGCTTTCAAGGATGCTTATTGCCTCGCCTAACGTCAGTATAATATACTATTCAGTGTACATAACCTCACATATTCACTCTATTCATAAAACACGGCTTTTAAAATCTTTAGTTTACTATCACAGTTAAAAATATTTTTCTTAAGAACAAAACAAAAAAAATGTTCAGGTAATTTAAAAAAAAAATTGGTATTCGAATTCGTACCAGGAACCTGGTACCTACCTTGAATTTCTTTCGCACTCAAACTGAATATTGCCGTTTCTACTAACTCTTAAGAAGACGTGATAACCGTATGCGTTGTCTCCGTCTTACAAATGTACAACATACCAAAAAACTGCTTTGCACTCGATAGAACCGCTCCCTTGCAGTGTTGAACCGAGATAAATATAATTTTATCTAGATGTAGATAAAGATAAATTATAATAATGTTATCTAGATAAAGATAACGATAACTAAATTATTTATTTATCTAGATCAAGATGAAAAAAAAATTATTTCATCAAGATAAGTTATCGAATAAATTATTTTATATTTTTTTATGGCACTCTCCGTAAGCTCGTAGCAATATAGAATAACTTGATTCTATATTATCGAAAATGTCGATAGTTATTAGTAAGGCTGGGATTTTGATGCAAAAGTATATTTTTTTCTGTTGTTTTGAAACGTTGATTCGTAAGTGTAAAATGTGTTTTGGGTGATACTGATTATTTTTAAGTACTTTTCATTTTGCATTTTTAGCATTTTTTGACAAAACTAACCTTAAATGCATTTTTAGGACATTTTTTGACGTTTTTAGTGCATTTTCTTAGTACGACCCATAAACCTAGAAACCCAGAAACTTTCGGCAAACTGCCGACGGTTCGAATATATGATACTATATATTATAATTTATTTATATGTTGTAAGGTTACCTTACGGTCGGACACTAAAAGGGTACCGACCACCACGGATCCGAGACTGGTTAGGTCGGAGAAACGTGGATTTTAAACATATTATACACATTGTAATTTTAAATATAGATTTTAAATTTATTATACATTTCCTTAAATAATATAGGCAGCACCCGAAATTTGTGCATGGGTAGTGAGTTTGCACATATAAATTACCCGACACCTGTAAGGTCACCACCCTGTTTGCCTGGTCGCAGCCGCTGTTGCTGTGTTTATTGTTGTTGATGTTGTTGTGGTATTGCATGGTTTGTCCACCCTCGGACTTCCGGGTGATAGTCCTGACCGATCCAACTGTCCTACTCCATGGCTGGGGACATTGCACACTTGGTCGGAAACTGGGTTGCGCTGATGACCACTGTCGGGAAGTGAAACGGCGAATGACGACTTTTCGGCAGCAACGCAGTGGTGGCGGCATTTCAGGTGTATATCGATATAATAATGAAATACGATATAAAACTTGTTTCTATATTTTTGTTGTATGTGTGTGCGGTCGGGCTTGGGTTCGTCTTATCTCCAAAGACTTTATCCCGATATTGTGGAATACTTGTATATATACGACCCATAAACCTATAGCGACTTCGGTTAGTACCATGGGGATAATTTAGTCACGTTACAGAACCCCCCGGACAGATTTGTAGGAGTATCATGCGCATAATCTGTCCCAAAAATAACGTGAAATTATACATGTGGAGAATTTATTCAATAATACATTTTTTTTTTTTTTAAACATGCAGAAATTTTAACTTTACCATCTCTATTATTATATTCATTCGTCTTGGATTGTATAATACTTTTTTAGGTGGATACAGTTAAACGACCCACGAGTCAGTCTCGACTCGGGGTGTATTAGGGTATAATATGCATTACGGTTACGTATTCCCGATATCTCAAAAGGGCACTCGTATAATAAAAAAAACTTTGATAATATGTTTTTGTCAATCGCACTACTGAGTTTGTGTGTCCTCACTCCTCACTAACACGCTGTCACCAATCCCATAGATAATAGGATTGATCCGTCGCCTATGTGCCTCTCGACGCTTCTCTGCGTTTGTATATTGTACCTCTCGCGCTATGGTTATTCGGTCGATATTACTTATGATTGAACTTGGTGGAAAATCTACGATACCAACAAGTGGACCTTTCTCCGTAATGTTTAAAAATAATTCGGGAGGTGTAGAGTGTGTTGATTCGTGCCTCACGTTATTTAACACCCATTCAACATATCCTACGTATTTAGGCCAACTCTGATGTCTATTGTAACAATATGTTCTGAATAACCGCACTATTTCACGCATAACCCTCTCCGCGGGATTTGACTGTGGGTGATACACACTGGTCATATATGGCTGGACACCAAGTTTACATAACGATTGTTGCCAGATTTTACTCGTAAATTGTTTACCATGGTCAGAAATAATAGTTTTTGGTTTTCCGTACGTGGGTATATAGTCGGTTAGTATTCTCTTCACACATGCTTTCGCTGTGGCTTTGCATAACGGGAAAAGTTTAAAAAATCGAGTAAAGTTATCGAGTACTACTAGGATATAGGTATATCGACATTGTCCCGTCGGTAATGGACCATAGATATAAACTAATACACGATCTAGTTTATCTTGGGCTAACACCGACACCATCTCGCCCTCGGGATTGTAGTTAATCACTTTATTACGTTGACATAATATGTCGCAGGCACGCACTACTTCGCGGACCGTTCTGAAAAAACGTCCAAAATAAATGTGTTTACGAAGTGCATTTGCTGTTTTTATCGACCCAGGGTGCCCATAATAGTCGTGAAACGCAATAATTAAAGTTCTCTCTAAATGTTTTGGTGTGTAAATAGACCACGGCGAAGCACTATGATCGGACTTTCGTATAAATAAGATATCATTATGTAATAGGTAGTATTTCGACAGTTGTTTACTCAAACAATTATTACAGTTGAGATTATCACGAATTTTTAACAATTTATTGTCTTGTTTCTGCTCGTTTGATATTTCATATAGAATTTGAGTTAGAGAGCTGGGTAACGTGGGTGGTATCATCATAGATAAAATTACTGGTTGTCTGTTTTCGTTGACGTCATCACGTCCAACTGGGTTTCGAGACAGGGTATCTAAAGGGTTTTCTTTACCTGGGCAATGACGAATTGTTAAGTTATATTCTTGTAACAAAAGTGTCCACCTGGATAACCGTGCATTTCGTAGCTTGCACGTAAAGAGAAATATCAACGCTTGATGATCGGTGTACAACTCTATCGGATACCCTAATATATATATCCTGAATTTCTGGAAAGCAAACACAATGCCTAATAGTTCTAACTCCGAGATCGTATAATTCTTTTCGGCAGCAATAAGGGTTCGGCTCGCGAAAGAAATTGTGTGTCGTACATTGTTATGATCGACTTGAAAAAGCTTGGCACCGAGCCCTAAGATAGAAGCGTCGGACTGGACGCAAAACGTTTTATTAAAATCGGGATGCGTTAGGGAGACCTGTTTACTGAATACGTTTTTGATCTCTTGAAAAGCCTTTCTTTCGGATTGTCTAAATTCCCAGGGGACTCCTTTTTTCAATAAACGAGCAAGTGGTACTAATAACGTTGAGTGATTTTGTGAGAACTTCCTATACAAAATTACAGAGTCCTACAAATGACTGTAAGTCTTTCCGGTTTCGGGGCTCTGGAAATTCGCTGATTGTTTGAGTCTTTTCGGGATCCATAGAGAACCCCCCAGATATAGTGACCTAAGAATTTTATTCTCGGTTTAGCGAAATGAAATTTGGTATATTTGAACGTTATATTTACGGACATCGGGGTCCAAAGGGATCTGCCAATATCCCGAAATAAAATCGAGAGAAGTGAAGTACTTTTTGTCGTGGAAGTTTGGGAGAATATCATCTAAAGGTGGGAATGAGTCACGTGTAGGTTTAACCACTGTGTTCAATTTACGCGCATCGAGACAGAGCCGTATCGACCTATCGGGTTTTTGAACACTCAAAATTGGATTGTTATACGCTGCCTCAGATCGCTCAATCACCCCCCAGTCCAACATTCGATTTAGTTCACGTTGTATCGCGGGACGCCGTGCAAATGGAACGGGATATGGTTTTAATCGGAACGGCTTGTGGTCAATGACCTTAAACTGATACGAGAAGTAATTATACCGCAAAGGACGGCCTTGAAATATTTCTTGATAATCAGCCAGTTATTGGTCTAATTGTCGTTGTTCATCGGTGTCTAATGACTATGGGACCTAGGGTGTAAGACCACTTTTTAGCCCTACCACTGAGTCTACTGCATGCAGCTTTAATTTTTGTTAGGTCGGTGAACACTTGGTTTTGAAAATAATTGTTCAGTTTTTCAAGAAATTCTCAGGGGGGGAACGGATCAATATTACCGTTAAATTCCGGGACGATATCTTTTATTTTTACTGTGCGACTCGCAAAACTTTGGTTAAAATTATAGGGCTGAGGTATCCTGGAGAACTCTTGTGACGTCATCGTACCTGTTATACCAAAACGATAAGAGCTGTTACTATTATTGTTCATTGTACTAGTGGTTGTTATAGGTAAGGAGGTATTGTGAACTACCGTCGACGAAAATACATTGCTACGTTCAGATCGTGAAAATGTATTCACATTATCGTTTATGGGCACTGAACCGAATGTTTATATGCGTGGAACACTCGAAGTAGTCCCGTGTGTTTGGATTGTTTGGATTACATTTTCCACCGCAGCAAGACGTGGCCCTGCCAAGACTTGCCTGCCCCTCGATTAGACATACTCATTCCGTTAGGCTTGACAGTTCTTCCTTCGTTTCACGTTTATAATTCGCTATATGATGATCAGTGTATTGCTTACACTCAGTTCAAAGTTTCTGTTGGTCGGATTGACATTGTCCACTGGCGAAACTTAGATCTTCACGTAATTCCTCAATATTCTTGTCAAGTTTTAAGTCTAACTTATTTAATATGCTTTGTTGGTGGTCGAACCTATCATTAATTTCTATACGATTGCCCTCAAACTTTTCATTGATCTCAGCAAGACTGGTTCTAAAGTCCGTACTTAAATCGATCCGGTTCTGTTCAAGTTTTTCGTTAAGTGCACTACATGTTCGTTCGATGGAATCGTGAATTAAATCAAATTTCCTGTTTGACTCTTCACTTTGACTTCGGATCGCTTCATTTTGAGCCTTGACTTGGTTAAACATCCGTTGGAAGTAATCCTGATCATCCAGAACTTGGGTAACCAGGTGGACAACGATATATATAATATGTACGATATATTAACAATATTTTGAATCGATACACATGTACTAAATGTATTGGATTAATTATATGGTGTTAATTTTCTTCGAAAGTATAAGAAAATTTAATAGCTAATTATTTATTATACTTATATATAGTTATATTATACTAATAATAATTACAGGAGCGGCTCCAGGGATATGGTTGGGGATTGGGCTAAGTCGTAATTTTCAAAAAACTTTCGATATTACAAATAATGTGTTTTTTTTTTTTAATTTTGTTTTTAACGGTACACATTTATTTAGAAATAAGGGCTTAGGAGGCTATGTGGCCCACAGTCCTCTCTAGTTTTTATTATTGTAACACTAAAAACTGTCTGTTTATATCTGACTAATTAGTAATTTACTAATATTTTATATTTCATACTTAATTATAAATACTGATCCCGTATCAATTTACAAATTAGAAATTATCTATAGAATTAACAGTTTAAGACTTTTTGTTAATCAATTCAATCAATGTCGACATTTGAAAAATACCTAGGTTTGGATTTTTTTTTTTGGTTGAAAAGTAGATGGCCCGAAATAATTTATATTTATTGTATACTTTTCATGTAAGTAGATATGGACTTTAAATTGTTAGGAATTTCAACATTTAACAATTTATGTTTTTTAAGTGATTCGGTAAATTTTTATTCGTTTTTTGAATTTTACGTATTCGCATTATTTTATTAAAAGCAATGTTCTCTGATTTAAGTTTGTGACCAAAAAAAAACCGGAAAGGCACATATGCTTAATTGTTTACATGTAAGCCTTGCTAACAGATTATGTTTATTTAATTCGAATAAATATGTTTCTCCAAAAAGGTGAGTGTAAAACAATATATTATAATAATCGTGTATTATTTACAGTGGACGAAAACTTGCTGTATTATGATTATTATTACAGGTGGTTGAAGATTATGTTACATTGTTACCATAATATTATAGTTATTATTAATATCTAATAATATAACTATTATATCTATGATATGTTATTATAATATTATAACTGTTATTATTGTAACAGTACACTGTCGTCCACCATAAAACGGTCCTTTTCAGGACCACCAATCACAGCTCAGAATGACAGAACAATCCGTTTGAATAACTTCACGCCTTTGTCACAAAACCCCAAGTTATTGCAAACACTTAACAACAACATCTATGTATAGGGAAGACCGAGAAGCGTCGAACGACACCATACCCACATCCATAGCCCCAAAACTGTGCAGGCAACACCACTTCCCGTACCAAACGCAAACACAACAGCCACGGCGGCAATACGCGCGTTTACTAGTCGGTACGGGACACAGTATATATACCAGGCGCTTTCATCATATCAGTATTCGCTCCCTGAAGAACGTTCCCTCAAAGTCGTTCTGAAGGGCATCCCAAACGATATCCCGGTCGAAGAAGTCCAAGGGGAGCTGGAAACCCTTGGTTTCTCCGTAAAATTCATCCGCCGTTTCGGCACCCCGGAAAAACCGATGCCAATGTGTGTTGTACACATCGCATCAAATACAAATTCCAAAGACATTTTTCTGCTAAACAATCTTTTCTACATACAAATATCCGTCGAACCCCTCAAATCCACTGGCCCTGCCCAATGTTTTTCGTGCCAACGCTTCGGCCACGGCTCACGCAACTGCGGTCACCCACCAAGATGTGTGAAATGTGCAGGAAACCACTTGGCAAGCGACTGCCAAAAAACCCGCGAACAGGCCCCAAAATGTTGCAACTGCGGCGGACCACATACCGCAAATTTCCGTGGTTGCCCCCATTTACTAGCTCAAAACCAACCAAAACCACAAACTCTGGCCCAAACCATCCCAAAACCAAACAAAACCCTACCCATTCAAAAAACACCACCTCCCCACCTGCACCTAGGCCCACCCTGTCCTACGCTACTGCAACTGCCGGAGCAGCTCCCCCCTCCCCCACTCCCCAAGCCCCACAAATCGATCTGTCCCTGATTCTAAACCTCTTGACCAACCTACTGACTGCCCTGGCAACCAACCAGGACCATAAAACAATGATAGAAACGACCATAAAAGCATTCCTGACAATTCTCTCGCCTCCCAATGAATAATTTAAAAATCTTGTTTTGGAACTCCAACGGTATTATACACAAACTTAATGAACTAACAGCTCTCGCACTCCAACTAAAAACCGACATAATCTTACTTAACGAAACTCGTCTATCTCCCTCCACCAATCTTCACATCCCAAATTACTTCACGTACAGGAACGACCTACCGACCATCCGGGGCTCGCCCCCTCACGGCGGCACGGCCGTCCTCATTCACCGTCGCATCGTCCACCAACCTATGACTCTTAACACAACCATTCAAACCTCTTCAGTCCTTATCAAACTTAACAACCATGAAATACTTGTATCAGCGGTATACAAACCACCCGGCGCCACTCTCTCGACACCTGACACCTAGACTTACTTACCCAAAGCGCGGAATGGCAAATATCGGCAGGCGATTTCAACGCCAAACACCCCTTGTGGTACAGCCACTCGATAAACGCAGCCGGCCGTGTCCTCTTTGATCACATCCAACTTTCTGACTACTCCGTTATTGCCCCCTCTTCCCCCACACATTTCCCCACTTACGCCCGTCACAGACCCGACGTACTCGACATCGCCCTCGCACGTCTACCATACCCGACCCATATCGAAAACCTCAACGAACTATCTTCCGACCATAACCCTATACTTCTTGAGACTCTATGTACTCCGATCTCATCGTCTCCTCCTGCTACTAACCGCTTCATTAACTGGACAAAATACAAAACCATCCTTACCAACTTACCTAACTCTCCCATACCACCGACAAATGACAAACATTCAATTGACCTAGCAGTCGATTGTCTGACCAAAAACCTGCAAAACGCTATCGAAGCTAGCGTATTCACTCCTAAACGCAAAAACTCGTCCCTCTTACTTCCCGACTACATAAAACTAGAAATTACTGAAAAAAAACCAACTACGCCGTCTGTGGCAGAGAAACCGCGACCCAACCGTTAAACGCCAACTGAACGCCAAAATCGCACTAATTCGAACCTTACTTTTAACTCACAAAACTGACCAATGGGACACCTTCCTAAACTCTCTTGACCAACAAGACAACTCCATCTACAAACTAAACAAATGCCTCCTTCATAAACGTCCAGCTTCTCACCCTCTGACCGGGCCAAACGGCCTTATCTTTCCGGCCAAAGACCGAGCCGAGCTGATAGCGGACTCTCTCGAACAACAATTCCAAACAAACCCCGGTCCCGACATACCAGAAGTGACCGCATACTACCATTCACTACAAAACCTCAATACTATAAAATCTAACCTGTTCACCACTCCCGGCACCATTCAAAAAATCATAAGCGACCTTCGCAAGAAGAATGCCCCAGGCGATGATCTCATCACCAACACGGCTCTTAAATTTCTCCCCAAAAATATCTTACTATCCCTAACGCAAATTATAAACAGCTCCTTCAGAATCTGCTACTTTCCACTTGCCTGGAAAAAAGCAGTCATAATTTCCATTCCCAAACCAGGCAAAGACCACAAACTACCCGTAAACTACCGCCCAATCGCTCTACTTTCCTCCCTATCAAAAATCTACGAACGACTCATACTCACTCACCTACAAAACATACTCCGTGACAAAATCCGCCCTGAACAGTTTGCCTTCAGAGCCGAACACTCTACTACCCAACAACTGACCAAACTCACTCACCAACTCAGCCAGAACTTTAACAACAACATAAACGCCGCTTCTATATTTCTTGATGTGGAGAAAGCTTTCGACAGAGTCTGGCACGCCGGACTCCTATACAAACTTTCTCAACTCAACATCCCGACCGAAATCATTAAAATCATCGAATCCTTTCTCACCGACCGCACTTTTATCGCTAAAATCGAAGACTCTTTCTCGTCCACCAGACACATTCTCGCAGGCGTCCCTCAAGGATCCTGCCTATCACCAACTCTCTACTTGACCTACATAAACGACATTCCGACGACTTCAAAAGCTCATCTCTCGCTATTCGCCGACGACACGATGTTCTTTAATTACGACCACAACCAAAAACGAGCAGCCATACAGTTACAACACCAACTTAACCTTGCAACCACATGGTTTCACCGATGGCGAATCAAAATAAACGCGACCAAAACTGTAGGTATCATTTTCAGACACTCAAATACCACCCACGTACCACCACTACTACTCGACAACCACTCCATTAACTGGTCCGACAAAGCAAAATACCTCGGCATCACCATCGGGCGCAAACTCACTTTCGGCAAACATATACAAAACATCACCAAAAAGGCTACCCGCATCCGAGGTATGCTTTACCCCATACTAAACCGCACTAGCCCCGTCCCAACGACAACGAAACTTAACATACTTAAACTTTACGTCTCACCTATCCTAACGTACGCTGGCTCTTCTTGGGCACCCTTTATAGGACCCTCTCAATGGAACCGCATCGAATCCGTCCAAATTATCGGCATACGCACTATAACGCGTATGCCCACTATCGTTAGAAATTCGGTCCTTCTAAAATCGACAAATTTCAAATCTATTTGAAATATAATTTCAACTAGATTCTAAACTCCATTCGTTCCCAAACCAAATCAATCTTAACTTACTACCACTAACTTACTTTTACCATTATTATGTTTATTTAATATTAAATTAAAGATTTTTAGATAAGTGTACAATATATAATAAAAGTTGTGTACACAAAATAAGTAAATTACATCTATTTATAAAGATATTTTTAATGTTTACCAAACTTTTGTACGATGTTATAATAAAATAGTGTATGAAAATAACAAATACCAATAATTATAATTCAACATAGACTTTTTAAATGTAAAATTAGATAATTAAATGAAATATAATACAT